TGGATGGGTGAGGAGAGTAGTGGAAAGAAAATGGAGACAAATGTGCTTAAACAGTAATAAATAAATAAATAAATGATTTAAAAAAAAAGATAGCATAACGTGCCTCTGGGACACCTCCAAATATACCAACATCCAAATCGTAGGGATGACAGAAGAACAAGAAATTGAAAACTTACTTGAAAAAATAATGAAAGAAAACTTTCCTAATTTGGTGAAGGCAATAGACATGCAAGTCCAGGAAGCATAGAGAGTCCCAAACAAATTGGACCCAAAAAGGACCACACCAAGACACATCATCATTAAAATGCTAAAGGTTAAAGATAAAGAATCTTAAAAGCAGCAAGATAAAAGAAGAGAGTTACCTACAAAGGAGTTCCCATAAGACTATCAGCTGATTTCTCAAAAGAAACCTTGCAGGCTAGCAGGGACTGGCAAGGAACATTCAAAGTGACGAAAACCAAGGACCTACAACCAAAATTACTCTATCCAGCAAAGCTATCATTTAGAATGGGAGGACAAATAAAGTGCTTCCCAGACAAGGTAAAGCTAAAGGAGTTCAACATCACCAGGCCATTATTACATGAAATGTTAAAGGAACTTATCTGAGAAAAAGAAAATCAAAACTATGAACATTAAAATGGCAACAAATTCACATTATCAAAAACTGAATTAAAAAGAAAAAACTAGCAAACAACCAGAACAGGAACAGAATCATAGGCATGGAGATCATTTGGAGGGCTATCAACTGGGTTGGGGAAGAGGGAGAATGCGGGGGAAGGTACAGGGATTAAGAAGCATAATTGTAGGTACAAAACAGATAGGGGGATGTCAATAATAGTATAGGAAGCCGAAAAACTTGTATGCACAACCCATGGACATAAACTAAAGGGGGGATTGCTGGTTGGAATAGGGGTACCAGGAGGGGCGAGGGGGGCAAAGGGCAAAAAATTGGGACAACTGGAATAGCATAATCAATACACTATTTAAAAAAAAAAAAAAGAATATAGAAAAACTCAACAACACCATCAACGAACAGGATCTCACCCACATTCTTTTCAAGCGTCCAAAAGAATGCATAGAAAATAAACCATATGCTGAGACTGATATCAAACCTTAACAAATTTAAAAGAATTGAAATCATAAAGTGTGTTTCTGACCACAATGAACTCAAACTAGAAATAACAGAAAGACAACAGGAAAATCTTCAAACACTAAACAAGGAACTACTATCTGAGGATCAAAGAGAAAGTCTCTACATAAATTTTTAAAAATGCAATGAACTGAATGAAAATGAAAACACAAAGTATTAAAAGTTGTGGGACAAAGCAAAGGCTAAGAAATTTATAGCACTACATCACACATATTAAAAGAAAATTTTTGTTGCAAATCAATAATCTAATCTCCTACCTTAAAAACTTAGAAAAAGAGCAAAATAAGCTTAAAGTAGAAAGCATATAATAAACAACTAAAATCAAAATCAGAAAAAAAGAGAAAATTAATAAAACAAAAGAGATGATTCTTTCCAAAGGTCAGTAAAATTGACAAACTGCTACCAAGACTGAAAAATACAAAAGGAAAGATGATACAAAATACCAGTACCAGAAATGAAACGGGATTTCACTTCAGAGGCTACAGACATCAAGGGGATAAGGTAATGCTATGAACAACTCTACACACAGAGATTTGACAACTTAAACAAAGTGGACTACTTCCTCCATTTCCCCTAAAACACTACCACTTGTCCAACTTTAAAGAGATCACTTGAACAGCCCTGTTATTGAGGAAATTGGATTATTTTAAATCTACGAAAAAAAGAAATCTCTAGGTCCAGATGGTTTCACTGAAGAATTCTACCAAACACTAAAGAATTAACACAACTCTATACAATCTCTTCCAGAAATTGGAACTCTTCTGAATTCATTTTATAAGGCTAGTGTTATCCTGATACCAAAACAAGACAAGACAGTACCCACAAAAGAAAACTACAGACTAATATCCCTTATGGATATACAAAAAAAATCCTTTACAAAATATTAACACACAGAATTCTGCAATATGTAAAAAGAATTATATACCCTGACCAAGCAGAGTTGAAAGCTGACTCAAGAGTTGAAAATCAAGCAATGAAATTGACTACCATGTAAACAAGCAAAAGAAAATCATGTATCAACTGATACAGAACAAAGCATCTGCAAAATCCAACACCCATTCATTATTTTAAAAACTGTAAGCAAAGCAGGACTAGAGGGGAACTTCCTCAAACTGATAAACAGTATGTACAAAATCCCTACAGCTAATAGCTGTTACACAGCTACTGAACGGTAGAAAAATAAATTTTTTGTATCTGTAAGATCAGAAAAAAGGCAGGATGTCCACCTCTACTACTCATATTCAGCACTATGTTGGATGTCTTACCACTGCAGTAAATAAAGGAAATAAAGGCATACGGATAGGAAAGAAAAACATCCTTACTTACAGATGACATAACTGCCTACATTGAAAATCCAAAGCAACCTACCAAAAAACTCCTATACCTAAAGAGTGAGTTTGCAATGTCACAAAATACAAGCTAAACACACAAAAAAATCGACTGTATTTCTATCTAATAATAATTAACACACTGACACCAAAACTAGAGCTATAATGCTATCTACAATAACTCCCCCAAAATGAAATAAATCTAACAAAGCACATACAGGACATATATGCTAAAAACTATGCAACAATGATGAATTAAACTAAAATCTAAATAAATGGAGAAACATAACATGTTAATGAATAAAAGACTCAACAAAGATGTCAATTTTCCCCAAACATAGATATATATGATCAACACAGTTCCTATTAAAATCCCAGCAGAATATTTTGTAGACATAGACAAAATTATTCTAAAACATACACAGAAAACAAAAGAACCAGAATAGCTAAAACAAGTTTGAAAGAAAATAAGTTGGGAATAATTATTCTACCCAATTTTAAGTTTTATTAGGCAAAGAAAATGAATCTCAATCTAAGTCTCACGTGGTGCAAAAAGGACAGCATATATGGGTTTTCCACATCCTGCACATCCAAAGAAAAGTTTGGGCATTGTTCATTTCCTAATAGGTAACCTCTAAACCTTTGGAATATCCTATCTAATGACAGTGTCTTTATTTACCTTGGATCACTGTATATAATCTATACTAATAACCTGTTTATGGTGGGAGACTTGAACCATATGATATCACCTTGACCTCTCAAAGGCTGGAGACTAAAGTCATCCACACAGGCAGCCAACCATGCCAACATAACCAGCCCACAATAAAAATCCTGGACATCAAGGCTCAGGTGACCTTGCCTAGTTAGCAATTCTCCATATGTGCTGTCACACATCGTTGCTGGGAGAATTAAACACTGTCCACACAACTCTACTGGGAGAGGCCAAATGAATGTTTAAGCCTCGTTTCTCCTGCACCCTGTCCTTTGCTTCTGTTTTTGATGATTGAAATCTGTATCCCTTTGCTGTAACATACCATACCCATCAGTATAACAGGTTCTCTGAGTTCTGCGAATCCTTCTAGCAAATCACTGAGGCCAAACACGGTCTCGAGACACCTAAACACACATACTTTATTTTAAAAAAATTAACTCAAAATGAATTATGGACTTAAATTGAAAATATAAAATTATAACTTTTAGAAAGAAAAGAAAGAAAGAAAAATTGTCAAGATCTGGGACTAGGCAGAGTTCCTAGACTTGACCCCAATGCATGATCCACACAGGAAAAACTAATACAACACTTGACTTCATCAAATTTAAAACTCTTGCTCTGCAAAAGACACTGTTAAAGGATGAAAAGATAAGCTACAGGGTACAAGAAAATATCTGCAAACCACATAGCCAACAAAGGATTAGCACCTAAAATATATAAGGAACTCTCAAAACGCAACGGTAAAATAAGGAAATAACCCAATTAGAACATGATCAAGACATGAAGAGATACTTCACCAAAGAAAATAAACAAATGGTAAATAAGCGTGTGAAAAAAATGTTCAACAGTATTAATATTTAAGGACTGAAAATTAAACCCACAGTAAGATATTACTTCCTTCCATTTAAGTAGGCTAAAATTTGAAAACCATGAAATGCTAGCAAGGATGAAGAGAAAATTGAATTACTCATGCTAAGCCATTAGTGATGTAAATGGAAAAGTCACTCTGGAAAATAATGCAATAGTTTCTTTCAAAATTAAGCATGCAACTGCCATATGCCCACCAACTGCACAGACATTTACCACAAAGAAACAAAGACATCAGTTCACATGGAGGCCTGCACATGATTGCTTGTAGCAGCTTTATCCCTACCAGCAAATATCTAAAAACAATCTAGATGTCACTCAATGCGTAAATGGTTAAGCAAAATACGGTCTATTCAACACCGCTATTGCAGTATACATACTACTCAGCAATAAAAGGAATGAACTATTGATACACACAACCTTCTAGATGAATCTCCAATGAAAAACCCCAATTCCAAAGGACTACATACTATATGACTGCATTTATCTAGCATTCTTGAAATGACAAAATGACAGAAATGGAGATTTGTGGTTTCCGGGAGTTAAGGAGGAGGGGAAAGTGAGTGTGAGACATTAGGTATTCTCTGGTGATAGAAATGTTTGGTTTTTTGACAGTATCAATGTCAATATCCTGGTTGTGATACTGTACTGTAGTTTTGTAAGATACAACCATAGGGTGGGGGGGTGTGCAGAGAATTTCTGTATTATTTCTTAAAATAGCATGTGAATCTACCATTTAAAATAAGATAGAAAAGTGAATGAAGGAAAACTAATATGATCAGAAGGACAATTTCATTTTTATATATAACAACACTGAACATCATTAAATATTCAAACACTACTTTTAAACTTCTTGATTTGAAACAATAAAACACATCTCGAATGTTCTCAATTCAACCATCCCCTGAACAGTCATGTCTAAACACTAAGAATTTTAGCTCACCTTCCACGCTGTCAGAACAGGAAGTTCCAATGCCAGTGTCACCACTGTCAGAAGCTATACTATGTCTCCTGATCTGGTTATTCCGATGACTGGATGGAAGAGTTGTGGCCTGCCACAATGATTCACTTCCAGGTAACCATGCTGATGAAGAATAATCTGGGCCTACAAAGAAAAATGTGCAAAAATTAACACATAATTTCTATGAGTAGACAGAAATTTTATCTTGATCTTATAAAAAATGCACACGATGTTATATTCTACCCAAAATATTAAAATAGATCAGTGATATCTAAGACTCAACAAATAAACTTACACATCATACACTCCCATAAATTCAATGCTGATTTAGCAGCTTCCTCTAGCTGAAGGACTCTGGTGTCTGCATATAAATATTTGAACTTTTAAATACATACTGTTCTCTTATTTAAAATGTCAAATTTATCATCTATCTGTCTGGAAATGTCAACACTCCACTCTGGAATATTTGATAGGTAGGCATCTGTGATTCCACACACAGGCATTGGTTGAAAAGTATGGCTCAGATAAAGTCTAACTGAATCATACTGCATAACGATATAAGTAGAATACATTCATAAGAGGTCAAATAAATCTATTTTCTCTACAATATCCAAATCACTTAAAATTTAAAATTATATTGCATTATTTTAATTGATTTTATTTCTTTAGTTATCTTTTGATAAATGTTTAACACCACAGCATCTTACTGGCTCTTTGCTCAAATTTTCCTTTTAATTTAAATTATTATTTTTTTAGCTAATTTTCACTCTTCAGTATTCTCTTGAACTTCATTTTCACTTACTGCGTCCATTTTGCTTAATTTTTATTTTCTTTTTTCTGATTTACCCACCATTTTACTTTTTTTGCTCACTTTCTTCTTTTATTTTCTATTGTAATTCCAATCTAAGTATATCCATGGACCAAGGCCAGTCTGTAAACTTTTTATCACTAGTTCATGAAAGTTGGGTGCAAAAATAAAGAATAAGAATTTAGAAATTTTTATAGCAATTTGAAAGGCAATTTTAAATCTGCTGAATTTTATATAAAACTATTGAAGCATGTTATCTTTATTAACAGCTAACAGAGTGATTCTCAAACTGGAGGCTGGAGATCTATTTGTGGGAGTTTAAAAGTTCTGTATAAGAATTTGGGGCTTTCATTTTAATGATTTTCTTAAAAATTAATAAGCACATTACAGATGATCTGATGAGCTACCTTAAGGCGGATTATTTTCACGTAATGTCAATGCCACAGCATCTGTATAACTACCTTAAAACAGATTCATTATGACAATTTCAATGCCCCCATTTGTGTTTTATGTTTACAATTGCAGTTACTCATAAGTAAAAGGCAAATAACATACTGGGCACTCATCATTATGATATGAAACAAGGTATCTTTACAAAAATATCATGTTACTAGGCCTGCTCTAACTCTGATCTATTATCTATACCACTGATTTTTCAATCTTTTTCATGTCATGGCATACAAAAACTACTAAAATACTTCAGCACATCAAAAAAATATATCATTTTTTGCCAATCTGACCAAAAAACAGGTATAATTTTGATTCATTCACACCAGACCGCTACTGTTGTATTGGCTGTTGTCATTTTTTTATTTGACTGAGAAAAGAGGTCAGTGACCCTGACTAAAATAATCAGGTATTGAATTCTCTAAAAATTCTTGTGGCACACCAATGTGCTGCAGCACTCTAGTTGAAAATCACTGATCTATGCAACAATGTTTTCTTCAATCAGTTCCTCATCTAAATATCCCATCTAAATGAACTCAAAGTCCTGTATGAACCATTAGCAAAAAGGGCAACCAGCCCACTACTTTCTCTCCCAAGTGCACACCTATTAGTTGGAGAAATATTTTTTTAAGAATACCCAGAAAACAGCATAAATAGTATGAGAATGCAGTAAATAGCAGCCAAAGATATGAAAAAATATCCAATCGTACTAATAATGAGAGAAATAAAAAAGAACAGTTTTTAGATTTTTAAAATAATCTATATTATATATAATATTAAATATCATTGGAAAATAATTTAAAAATTGATGTCAATACAAGAAATGTTCATGTACTTTTGTGGACATATAAACTGATACTCATTTCTGGGTATATATCCAAAGGTAACTAAATCACTATCTCAAAGATATCTGAATTCTCATGTTCACTGAAGCATTATTCAGAGTAGCCAAGGTATGCAAACCACCAGGGCGTCCATTGATGTCAGGTGAATGGATGAGAAACATATGAGATATAAACATAATAAAATACAGGGCAGGGTAAAAATAGGCTTATAACTGTCATTACATAGAACAGTTTAGTCTTGTTTTATTACTTATTAATTACTGTATTATTTTCCATATGAACAACTATAAACCCAGTTTTGCCCCATCCTATAACGTTCAGCCATAAGAGAGAAGGAAACCCTGCCATTGCGACAACATGGATGAGCCTGGAATGCATTATGCTAAGTGAAATAAGCCAGACCAAAAAAAAAGGCAACTACTGCATGATATAACATATGTGGAATTAAAAAATAAAAGTCAAATTCACAAAGAGTAAAATGGTGGTTGCCAGGGTCTGGGGGACAGGAACCAGAAATAGGAAGAGACTAGAAGGGATATAAACTTTCAGGTATAAGATGATTAAGCCTGAGAATCTAATATGATGAATATGATGACTATAGTCAATAAAACTGCTTCATATACTTGAAATTTGCTAAGAGAGTGGAATTTAAATGTTCTCACCTAAAAAAAAAAGTGGTAAATATATGAGGTGATGAATGTGTTAATTAGCTGGTGAGAATGCTTTCACAATGTATACTTATGTCCAATCATCATATTTACACTTAAGTATATTATAATTTTATTTGTCAATTATATCTCAATTAAGCTAAGAACAAAAAGAATCCAATGTTTGAAGGAGTGGGGTTATAGACCAAAGAATGTTCCTTAAGCAGTCTTTCTAGTAAGAACCAGTTACAAATAAACCCAAAAGGGACAGGGAAACAGAATTTTGGCTATTACAATAATGAAGGCTGGGGTGAGGCCAAAGCACAGCAGTGGGGCAGGGGCTGGCAGCCATGGCATGCAATGGCTTGGCAGTTCCTCTGATCGTGATGAGTGTGTTCTGGAGCTTCGTCAGCCTCCTGGTCCCATTTCATCCCTAAGGGTCCCAACCAAGAGGTTGTCATCACCATGCTGGTGACCTGTTCAGTTTGCTATCTCTTTTGTGTGATTGCAATTCTGGCCCAACTCAACCCTTTCTTTGGACCACAGTTGAAAAAAGAAACCATCTCGTGTATCAAGCATCACTGGCCTTGAGGAAGATCTGCAGTCCAATGCTCAGTAAGGCCACAAAGATAATCCCTCTAGATGCAAAGCCACCTCCAAACACAGACCACCTCCCTTGACTTGCCTGTTTGGGCCATCAGCTGCCTTAAACATTCACACCACAGCTGAATACCTTTTTCTACAATGCAGTATTTCTTCCTGTACCTTTTTTACACTTTGACAAATTATGTGCCTCCTTAATCTAAACTGTGCTAACGACATATAATGTGTATATACTCTTCTGAGATAGAAGGTGCTAGTCTTCTGAGAAACACTCCCTCTCTCCTTGGAACCTATGGATTTGAAGATGGCTCCTGCTTGCTCACAACATGGGAATCTGTGACGTGTTTAAAAGGTCATGAGACAATAAGACTGCAGTGCAGAAGCCAACAGGAGAGTATGCTCTAGGGGAGCTCTGTCCTAACAGAATCGCACCAAAGTATGTTTTCAGAATGAATTTCTTACTTCTGCCATCTTTTGGGATAAATTATTTTCCTGCTTTCTTAAAAAATAAATAAAATAATGAAGAAGATCTAAAAGTATAAAATGCTTATGTTCCTATATTTCACAGGAATAAAATTTCACAGGAAATTCACAAGTAACCTCAGATTTCATATTGTCTAGGAATTCTCTTAACTTTTGTTTTCACTGTCTCTAATTTAGCACCCAACACATCAAACTGAAATTATCTGTTCACGTATCTGTCCTCCTTTTAGACTGCAGTAATACTAAAGGACCATGTGTTCCAGATCTTAATCAGCGTGGCAGCCAGTATACTTTAAATATTCAAACAAAGAATGCACAGAGCAACTGGAAAGAAATATAACAAAATACTACTGGTTTTCTCTAGGTGGTAGGATTACTGGTAATTTCTTTGACCCTTATGCTTTTAGTTTTCTGGTATTTATTTTTGCCAAATGATCTTATTTTTGCCAAACTTTTCCTTTAGAGGAAGCAAAGCAATTCATTCAGGTTTCCCAAAATGACAATAACAGAGTAAAATGATAGAATTATCTATAATGATTTGATCTTCTCCAGCCTGACCTCAGATTTGTTTTAATCTTTAAATGTTTCTTTTTTTAAAAAAAGATTTTATTTATTTATTTTTATAGAGGGGAAGAGAGAAAGAGAGGGAGAGAAACATCAATGTGTGGTTGCCTCTTGCACACCCCATCCTGGAGACCTGGCCCGCAACCCAGGCATGTGCCCTGACTAGGAATCAAACTGGCGACCCTTAGGTTCGCAGGCCGGCACTCAATCCACTGAGCCACACCAGCCAGGGCTAGACATGTTTCTTTAAAAAAAATAAAAATAAAAAAGGTCCAGTATATTTTATGTACCTAGAATACTGGTAATAACTACAAATGTCATGAATAAAATAACATTCTAACCTTTATTTTAGATTGAATGCGTTCATTCTTGAGAATAAAAGTCTTGTCTGTATTCAAGTCAATCCAGAATCACAAAGCAGTAAGAACTAGCCATGAATATGCTTGCCAGGTGATATAATAAGGAAAATTTTCTCATACAGTAGTTATGACTATGCTACTGAAATGGGAACGACTGAATTTCTAGATATGTGCTATGTACCTTATTTTTAAATCCTCACTAGAGGATATTTTTTCATTGCTTTTGGAGAAAGGGGAAGAAGGGAGAGAGGGAGACAGAGAGAGAGAAAAACATTGATGTGAAAGAGAAACATCAATTGGTTGCCTCCTCATAGACACCCTGATTGGGGATTGAACCTACAACCTCGGTATATGCCCTGGCAGGAAATCAAACACATGACATTTCCAT